TGAGATACGTGACAAAATCATGATTAGATATGAGAATTTTTATTACTTTTTAGATTATAATTTTTTGTGTTATTTTTACCAATTTTTCTTTTAATTTTTAACACTCAACGCCAACAAAAAGAAAACACTCAACATCATTAACTTTTTTTTTTAACTTCCATCAAATTATTCAATTTTTATCCAACAATTTAGCTGAAAAATAATGAATTTACTCTCAAACGATTGATCTTTAAGTAGTTTGGATGAGAAAAAAAAAAAAAAAGAATTTTAAAAGCCAATAACTACTTGACACATGTGACAGTCCATATCTTTTGTTTTTTTACGAGAGTTTATGTTTCTCTCACTCGCGTACATCACATGCCACAACTTTCTCTTTTAATAGTACAAGTCAAGTTTACAGACTACATACACATTGTGTGTTTAAGTGACCGTTGACGTTAAAAGTGTAATCAACCCAAAAGAAGTGAGCGTTCTTAGTAGGATTATACTAAACATTTGTGGTTAATCCGATCAACTAGTTATATCGAGCTGATAAATAATTCTTTTGATTTAAGTCCATAAACTGACTAAGAAAACACATATAAGAATTAAAGTAGTTTAGTTTGAATCTGATCCAACAAATAATTGATGAATAAACAAATAGTCTATAATACAGATCCAAAAGCTACAATTAGCAAAATTATATATGGTCTAGAAGATCTTTTTTTTTTCTTTTACTAACTCTGTTTTCGTATTAAATCGAGTTTTTTATTTTCCTAATAATTGAAATTTTATGATCAACTACGACAAAAAAAAAAAAAAAATTATGATCAACTAGTTAAGTTAACTAAATTAAAGCCGATCAATAAACATTTATTGGTGACAACAAAAAATAGTACATTTACTATGCAAATACCCTAGTTGTTTCCCATGTTAGTCATTTCATTAAGTCCGGCCCCATGTTAGTGTATTAAAGTATTACTTATCCTATCGTTTTGTTAATTGAGAAATTCACCGTCTTCCTTTTTTTTATACGGCCAACCAATCAAACAAAATTGTTTACTAATATTTAGTATTAAGTAAACTAGCTCTTTCTTTCTCGCTTATTATTAAAATTAAATACCTCTCTATCTTTATAATAAGATAACTAAATGTTTACAAAACAAGGAAATGTTAAAAGTCCATAATGTCTGAGTTAAAAAATGGTTAATTTAAACTAAAAATCCTTATTTTGACACAATCTTTTGATCCGTTTTTCTTTCAATCGAATTATCGTGTTCAATGATCATGTAAAAATGGCAACGTCGCATTTGCTTATGGATTCTAGCTTCAAGAAATCGATTTTTTTTTTTTTGTAAAGATTTACAAGGAAAAAGTATCTATACAAAACAAAGATGTGTTTTTCTTGTGTTGTAACGTAAAGGAGAGACGTAGAGAGAACAACAAGGAGTGGTCCAAATTAGAGCATTGAATAGCCGTTGTCATTTGTAAGCTTATTACTCGTTTCTTTGTCTTTTCTTTCTCTTCAAACCAACCCTTGTTCTATTTCCATTTCTGTCATTTTTCATTTATTAAGAATTGCTTCTTCTTTTCTCTCCGCATGTTCACACTTAGCCCTTTACATTTCCAGATCGTACACACACACCAAAATTGAGTAATAATTCACTAATTTATTTTGACTGGCTCTGCATTTTATAAGAAATCGAGTCACATATTGCCTGGGTGCAAGTGTAACCAGAGACCCAAGCAATTTTTGTTTTAATAGAGAAGCAAGCAATGAAAATCTCAAGTGTCTTATGACATTATCAAATAACTTATTCCATAGAGCTTTATAACAAATGTATCTGATGACTCTGTATCACAAAGCATCCATCATACATAACATAAATAGATTTTATTACTACTCGAAATAACTATCCTACCATCTCCCACACATATTCATCTGACTGACGCCAAAGGATCCCAAATTTTCCGGCAAGTAAACGAGACAAAGAAACACAGTAGATGCAGCAACATAGAAATGGTTCCGTTCAAACGCTGACCTTACAACCGCGATCTAGCTTGTTCCACGGGAGAGCTCTGCAATGCAAATGGAAGGACAGTCAAGAATATGAGTTATACATCTTGAGAGCTAAAGTGGAATCGCCAGAGAAAGATACAAGCCAGAAACAAAAGGAAGACGAGCAAAAGAATATTCACCAGAGGAGCTCCTTTAGATGCCCTTTCAGCTAAGAAGGCACAAGGCTTGAAGAAATCACCATAAGACTTCGACCACTCATCTAGCTTCGAGTAAATGTATTTCGATCCCATGGAATCAGCCCAGAACATGATTCCTCCTCTGTTCACAAGAGATTTAGATTAAAACTAAAATGAGCAAACAAGAATTTGACAAAGTTACAGCATTCTCTGATAATTAAAATGACCTGTAAGGTGGAAAACCCATTCCCATTATGCCAGCAATGTCAAGGTCTGCTGCTTTGACAGTAATACCTTCAGCAAAAACTCTACACGCTTCGTTCACTACTGGGAAAAATGTCATTTCAATAATTTCTTTCTCCGACAGTTTCGACAACTACAAGCCACAACAACCAGTCAGAGTGAGAAAAACGAAAAAAAAACAGTGACTTCTTCTCAAATGAGGATCTTTACTTGATTTTTGTACAGAGAGATACCTTAGGGTCAACGTTTACTCCAGATATGCTCCTTGCCTTCTCAATATATTTCTTTAATTCAGGATCAGGTTTAGCCTTGCGCTTATCATCATACAAATAGAAACCTTTACGAGTGGCTTCACCTGAAATCAACACGTAAAAGCCCAAAAGATTTAGAAGAAATGTTAAATCAATAAACATTAGCTAGCTCTCTTATCTGACATACCAGCTCTCTTGTCCTCTTGCATGAGTGGGATTATCATTGATTTGTTTGTCCGCTCTGGAAAATTCTCGATGAATTGCGTTGCAGTTGCAATCGCCACACCAAATCCAACCAGATCACACAATCTGCGAATAATGATGAGTAGATATTATGGGACATTAAAAAAAGGTGTATGAGAATGACATGGGTCTTTACAACGAAACATACCTGAAGGGACCCATTGGCATTCCAAACTTGCTGATTGCCCTATCGATTAGATATGGATCTGTTCCACGCTCAACAAGGAACATAGCTGCCTGTGTGTATGGGAAGAACATCCTATTCACTGCAAACCCTGTGCAGTTTCCCACCACGACTGGTGTTTTCTTAATCTTCTTTCCAACATCTAAGAGGTCAACAATGACTTGGGCAGAGGTGTGATTGGTCCGAACTATTTCAAGTAGTGGCATGACATGTGCTGGACTGCATCAGGGAAATGAATAAAAATGATTCGTGTAGAGCGAGCAAAACCACTCCAGGCATCAGATTTTCACTGAAATGCATCCAAATTCAAAAGGATAAGTAATCACCTGAAAAAATGTGCTCCAACAATCCGATCCTGGGACTTGGTCCGCTCCCCAATTTTGTTCAGATCAATGGTAGATGTGTTGCTAGCAAGGATACAATGCTGAGGACAGTACTTCTCCAGATCAGCAAAAATTTGTTGCTTCAAAGATATATTCTCAATAACAGCCTGTTCAAGCCATCAAAAAGACATCATACAAAGTCAATTCACTTATCTTGCCATATAAAAAAACAACTTCCGCTTGGTTATGCTCATTATTACCTCAATGACCATGTCCACATCCCTAAAGCTTTCGTAGTCAAGAGAACCCTTAAGGAGAGACATGGTTTTCTCAAACTTTTCCTGAGACATGCTTCCTTTCCTTACACGACTCTGAAGATTAGCTGATCAATAAATGAAATCAGTCAGATCAAGCATTTGCAAATCGTTGGTAAGCAATGTACAGAATCCATCCCCACCTTTGACTCTGCCAATTCCTGCCTCCAGGAACTTGTCATTTACCTCCTTGAGAACTACTGGATAGTTGCTGAGGATCAATGCAGTGGCTATTCCAGATCCCATCAACCCGCCTCCAATTATTGCTACCTTTTTAATCTTCCTTGGCACCAACCCACGATCAGTTACTCCAGGAACCTGTCCGGAAGGTAGAATGGAAAGAAAAAGAAAAAAAAACAGGGAAAGATTTTCATGCAAACAGTTAATATTTAGTTGTACACAAGTCTAAATTAATGACTAAACACACTCGCAGACCTTAGTAGTTCCTCGCTGAGAAAAGAAGACATGGATCAAGCTTTTCGTGGTATCCAAGCTTACCACTTGTGAAGCGATTTCAGCCTCCTGTTAAATACAATGTGGTGGAAATTCATACTGGTCAAGAGTCAAGGGAAAAATGCTAAAGAGAGTAACAAAGCGACGAAAAGATAGGTAAAATACCTTTTCTAAACCAGCCCTGGAACCAGAGACAATACCCACTTCAACAGCGTCAAGGCACATTAAGGGGTGTTTCAAATTGGGGGCTTGCTTGCGTGTCTGTGCCCTGGCAAACTTCATTATCTCCCTGGCCTCTCCAAGAGGAGGTAACTTATCAGTCTTTAAAACACTAGAAACCCATGGTTTTTTCCTCTCGGCTATGTCAAGGGCCCAGCGACGAGCAGTGTTTAGTAACTCGGCAGGTGGCACCACAGCATCAATAAGACCCAATGAATGACCTTCCTCAGCTTTAACCGGCTTTGATGTCTATATGTTTCAACAAAAGAAACGTCGTTATATTTTAACCAAAGCAGACTACTGCTAAAATAAGAATTATGCACTGACGCACCAAAATCATTTCAAGGGCCTTTGTGAGACCAACAAGACGTGGAAGACGCTGCGTTCCTGCACCAACCCAAAGGATCTTAATTAGCAAAATAAACGAAAGTAACATGATTTATTTAACTCAAACATGAATCACAGAGTTTAAAATCATATGATGCTCATAGGAATCAAGGACTTGACAATCAACAAAGTTGAGTATGCACCTCCAAACCCGGGAATAACACCAAGCTGCAGCTCGGGCAAACCTAACTGTGCAGCAGGAGCCGATATCCTCGCATGGCAAGCCTGGAAAAATCATACAACTGCATCACCATCCCTTGAATAAGAAACACGGAAACTCTACCAGGCTAAACATAGAAACTCATACCATAGCAAGTTCTAACCCTCCTCCCAAGGCAAGCCCATCAATGGCAGCTACAGACGGTTTCTTTGCAGCTGAATCCAAATAAATAAATCGATCCCTCAGCAACACATCTTTGGAAGCATTGCATTAATCAATTAAGTCGGTAAGTAGAAACATAACCTTCAAGCAAGCCAGATATGAGGTCGATTGAGAGGTATCCAGGCTTTGGCTCCTTCCCTGAGAAAATCAATAACACCCGTATATGT